CTAAACATCCGACAATGCACAGGATAATCACCCCACAGCAAAGAATTATCTGGTCCAAAATATTAATTGTGCCAAAAGATGCTCTACCATCTTTTTACTCAACGTATGGTCCTTGGACTGGCAACATGGGCATCACCTAGAAGCTTGTTAGAAATGCAGAATTTCAGGCCCTACCCCGGACTTAGTGAATCAGAATTAGCATTTTAACAAGCTCCACTGTGATATGTATGCACATCAAAGTTTGAGAAGTACTGTGCTAGTACACTTATTGTTTATTCTTTTTGAGCATCAGAATGGATCTGTGGTCTTCCACAGGCTCAAATAGTTCCAATTAATTATAAGCCTTGGCTTCTCATTGAGATCCCAAGTTTCACCACTGGGTCATGAGCAGCCTCTCTTTCCAGGCTGATTCCTCTACCCAGGAGCCTCTGAAAACATCCTTGCTCTCTGAGAACACCCACACAATGTCCCACATTCATCTTCTGCTCTCCTGCACCCTGGAAGGAATCCCCTTCTTCCTATGGAGATATGGTTCCATTTAATGGAGAACAAAATGGCCCTGGGGTGTGTATCCGAGCACTTGGGGTAGAGCAACAGGACACTAGACAAGAGGTTAAATAAAGCTCCACTGTGGGAGCTACACATGTGAAGGCTTTGCATTTATGTTGATATTTCCAAATTTACTATTTCATTTTAACTTGCTCAAATATAAAAGGTATCGATTTCTCTTGTTTTAGATTTGATTTTTCATGTATATTGTCATACTAGAAAATATGCTCATGTTCCAACATGGCCCTCAAATTTGGAAGACTTTCTTTTCCCTCTTTTGATCCTTGACTCAAGCACCCTTGGATTGACTAGAAATTATGCATACCTCCTTGTCAATATCATTTGAGTAATAACTGTCTGGAATAAATGAATCCAACATCTCTCTTTCTCATAACAAGAAACATTCAAGTAAGTACAAGTACGGGGTCCCCAGTAGCTCCCATAGAATCTATACAATTAGTGGACAAAAGCAAAGAAAGGCACAATAGAGACAAATACAAGTTCTTGCATTTTAGCCTAATACTCTTCTTAACCTTTCATTTTCATAGGCACTCGTGTCATTAATCATGGGAAGTTTTAGTTTTAAACTGCAGTTTCTTGAAGGACTTTGGAAATGACATAATAACCATCTCAGCAATACAACAACCCAACATTTAACAAGTCAATGAACTATGTAAGCAAGTACAACCACAGTATCATCCGAGGTAGAGAGTGGTTGGCTGGATGGCATGTGTTTCAATGGAAGCCTTTAAAAATGAGGGTGGAAGTAATGATTTGGAAGCAGCTGTTGGAGACCAGAAGAATTCTGGTTTCTGGAAGGGAGATCTGCTGGGAAGGTGGGAGTTTGGGGGAACCACCAGGTGTCCACTGAGGCAGGAAGTGGAGGAAACAGTAGGAAAGGGGCTGAAGACGTAAGGGAGATTGCACCCCATAGTGTGGGTCTGAGGAGCAGAGGGAAGGGCTGGGAAGGAGGTGTGTTAGAGCAGAGGTTGACCCTCGTGGTGGCAGAGGTGCCAGAGCAGTATCTACAGCTATAATGTCCTTCTGTTGTAATATCCTTCCCTCCAACCTTTTTCTTTATCAAGGCAGGGGAGAGGGAGCCAGGCAGGCTGAGGGGGACCCTGGTGTGCAGAAGGCCTGCTGACGCCCACTAACAGATGACCATTTATATGGCACATCAGCTAGTGCAAAGGGGGCTGGGAATGTTGGCAGAGAAGATGGCACAGACAAGGTATGTTGCAGGTGGGCATTTTCAGGTTGTTCTGTGTGGCTGGCTTGTAGGAAGCCTAAGAGCGTGAGGTGGGAGAAGTCACTGACAAGATTGACAGTCCTGCCCCCTGCCCCATGAAGGGCTTTGCATGTGATCCTAAGGCATTCAGAATTTGTCCTGAGCAGAGAACCACAGAGGATGGTGCCACTTGCCAGTTGAGAGGTGTGTTCTTTGATGCTGTAAAATGAGGAGGGTGGCTTATGGTTTCTAAAATTATGTTAATCTGAGGATCCAAAGGTGATTCTCAACTTAATTAAAAAGGCGTGACATGGATTTGAGAAGTTAGTGCTTATCTAAAAGCTCACACGATGGGGACGTTCCTCAGTAAAGGCTTCTTCCTGTCTTTCTCATCCTAATTCATCTTTTCTACCCTCTATCTTGGCTCCCCTGTCTTTATTTCCATGTCCCACTGTCTGGCCATGCAGCCTGGCACTTGGTGAACTCCCAGTTTCCCCAGCCCACACATCAGCCTGGACTTTCAGGTGGTGATTTCCCCCACAGAAGCTCTCTGCCAGTCCCCCCCCAACATTTCCCCATTTCTGCCTTTAGCCCACCTGGGTCTTCTCTCGTCCTTATGCAGTGAGGGCCTCCTCCCCTGCCTGGCCCTGTGGTCTTTTGCCTATGAATGTCTTGTGGATCATCTTGCACTGTTCCTCCAATGCAACCCTTGACTTTTTGAAGAGTTGTATGCTTAGTGTGCAGGCAGAATTCCAGGATGGCCTCAGGATTCTCACACCCTGCTCTACACACCATGTAAAACCCGTCCTCCTTTAGTGTAGGCAGAACCTGTGAATATGATGGGATATCATTCCCATTATTAGGCTACTAATTAATTAACTTGGAGTGAATCTAAAGGGAGATTATACTGGATCAGCCTGACCTAATCAGGTGAACCCTTAAAAGAACTCAGATTCCAATAAGCGGAAATCTTCCTGCTGGCCTTGAAGAAACAAACTGCCATATTGTGGAGAAGGCCGAGAGGTAGAGAATGGTGGGGGCCTCTAGGAGCTGAGATTGGGCCCCAGTGATAGCCAGCAAGAAAGTGGGGACCTCAGTCCTACACCTGCAACCAACCGAATTCTCCCAACTTTTAGCCTCAGATGAGATTGCAGCCCTGGCCAACAGCTTGATTTCAGCCGTGAGACCCTGAACAGAGAACCCAGTTAAGCTATGCCTGGACTTGTGACCCACAGATCTCTGACATAATAAATGGGTGTTGTTTTAGCTTGTTGCACAGCTATAGGAAACTAATAAATTCAGTTTTCTGTATTAAAATGTAGAACAGAGAATTTTAATCCTTTCTTTGTCCAGGCACTCCAGAGGAACAGACTAAAGAGTGTAACAGTGGCTCCTCCCAGCAGGATTTTCCCTTGGGATGGGACAGGTGGTCCAGAGTTGGCAGGGGACTCTGTCCCTCTGTTGTGAATCACTAATGCAAAGGACTGAGTCATTTTATCTCACTTTTGCTACGTATTAAAACACTAAATGAAGGTGATATTTACCTTGATGGTCTTTCTACTGAGGGAGAGTGACAGGGAAGGGGGCATGAAATATTTTGGGTGGTGGTGGTGACGTATAAATAGGATGGCCAGAAAAGGCCTCACTGAGATGAGTTTTTTTTTCTTCCACTAGTATATACTGTTCATGAATGTACTTTTAAAGGTTTTACTGAGATACAATTCGCATACTGTACAATTCACCCATTTAAGATATGCAATCCCATGGTTTTTAGTATATTCGTGGAGTTGTGCAAAGATGATGACTTTGAGTAAAGAGCTGAAGAAAGAGAGAATCTGCAGGATCTGGGGTTGGAGATGCATTCCAAGCAAAGAGAAGAGAAAGCAGGTTGTGAATGAGACAGTGCCCGGTGTGTTGAAGAACAAGGGGTCAGTGTGGCTGGCGTGGAAAGGACAGTGCAGAAAGTAGAAAAGTAATGAGGAACCAGATCCCATAGAGTCTTGTAGATCATAGTAAGGGCCTTGGATGTTTCTGTGACTGAGATGGGAAGCCAGTCCCTAGACATATCTGACTTACGTTTTACCAGGGTCACCTGGCTTCAGTGTTGAGAATAGGTTATAGAAGGGCAAGGGCAGAAAAAGGGAAACAATTTAACAGGCCATTGCAATAATCTAGGCAAAGGATGATGGAGGCTTGGACAAGGGCACTCTCATTGGGGGAGGTGAGAAATGGTTGAATTCAGTCTGATTTTAAGTGGAAAACCAACAGACCAGATCTATGGTGGCAGAAAAAGAGTGGAATCAAGGATGTCACTAAGAGTTTTGGTCCGAGATTGCAAGAATGGAGTTGATGTTGATGAAATGGGAAGACTAAGGGAAACTGGTTGAGGGCAAACATCAGGGACTCCACTTGAACAGGTGACGGTTAAGATGGCCTTAGACCATCCAAGTAGAGGTGTCAAGCAGGCCCTTCAAGGGAGAGGTCTAGGGTAAAGATGTACACTTGAGTCATGCAGCTTCTGTGGAAAAGTCTGATGGTTCCTTAAAAAATCAAACACAGATTTACTGTATGATCCATCAATTCTACTCCTAGGGTATATACCCAATTGAACACAAGTACTCAAAAAGATATTTATACTCTGATGTTCACAGCAGCACTATTCACAATAGCCAAAAGGTAGAAAAAAACCCAATTCCTATCAACAAATAAATAGATAAGGTAGTTGTACATACATGCAATGACTCAGCCATTAAAAAGAATGAAGTACTCACAAATGCCTCAGCACGGATGAGCCTCTGACACATTATGCTGAGTGCAGGAAGCCAGACATGAAAGGTCATGGATTGTATGATTTCATGTTTACGAAATAATCAAAATAGGGAAATCACAGACAGATAGTAGATTGGTGGCTGATGGGCTGGAGGTAAAAGGGGAATCAGGACTGATTGCTTAATGAGTACATGGTGTTCTATTAGGGTGATAAAAATGTTTCGAAAGTAGATGTTGCACAACATTGTCAGTGTACTAAATGCCACTGAGACATACACTTTAAAGTTGTTAATTTTATGTTACATGAACTTCACCTAAAAAAATCTGGCAGTCACCAGCATATTGGTGATATCTGAATCACTGTTACTTGGAAACATCGACTCTGTTTCAAAATAGCTGTTATCAGTGGCACATGTATACCCAGACTGCAAAGTGCAGCTTAAGACATGAACACATGAGATGGATGTTTTCACAGTACAGTCTCCAAAAAAAAGATACAACAAGAGGAAAAAAGACTCATCGGTTTGATTACTTCTTTTAAATCCTTCTTCTGAGTTTATTTTATCTTCTAACAAATCTCCACATGATTAAGAGATTTTTATGGCTATCAGAACAGGACCTGGGCTGGAGATTTCCTACAGACATCTCCTTCCAGAGCCCCTCGTATTGGTTTAAACAACATGATTGTCATCTTCAAGTAAGAGCCCTTCTAGCTGGCTGTTTTCTTGGCTTGAAATTTTGAGGGAAGCATCATCTATCTTCTGACGAGGTAATAGAGAGATACGGAGTCATAAGGGGTTTTGGGAGGTATTTGTGGAGTTTCGAAGTTTCAGTAGTCTGGCCAGCTAACTCCGAAGAGGGAATCTGTCAAAGCATTCCTGGAGGGTTCTTGGAGGTACCTGGCAGGGGTTCCTGCTCCAAGGCCTCCTCAAGTGGCTTAACACTTTCCTGGTTGAATATGGTCTTCTTGGTAGATAGAGCTACAGAAACAGGTACCTAATAGAAAACAAAAAAGCAAAAAGGTTTTCAGCAAAGACTAAAATACCCTCAGGTATGGCAAGTGATTTAGAAAGAGCTAGAAACCTCTGGTTCATGCCTGCCGTCCAATCCAAATTTATCCATTCACTGAGGCCCAATTCAACTTCTCCTCTTTCACACTGTCCAGCCCACATCAACCCATTTGTTTGCACCGTTTATTTGGTACCCAATATTAACTTGGTACTGGGATTCCAAGAGCTAGTGGCATTCCCTGGTTCCACAAGGTCAAAGAAAACTGTATTCTTGTTTGTATCTCACTTTGGGCCCATCACAGCACTCTCTTCTTGTGCTCAATGAAGATTTTTTGAATGGATGATTCTCCCCGCTCTTTCATCCCTTACAGCAAATAGGCCACCACATTGTGTTATTTCTTCATTTGAAACTACTGCTAGTAGCTTGAAAATGAAGCTGTGCAACAGAATTACCAGAGGAGCTTGATAACAATACAAATTCCCAGTACTTTCCTGAGCTATGAATTCAATCGATCTGGGCTGAACCTAGGAATGTGTATTTTTATCAAGTATTTCATTTTATTCTAATGTAGCTGGTCCTTATTCTTGAGCCTATGAGCCCTTAACGAATACACTTATTGCTCTTTATTCCTATTACCCCACACATGGAATTACATTAGATAATTTTTTTTTCACTCGATGGTATATCTTGGGACATCTTTCCAGGCCAATAAATATAGATCTACATCATTATTTGCAAAGCTACATAGTATTCTATTTTGCATGTTTGTGTACGTGTGTGTACATGTGTGTGTTTATGTATATATCTCTCTCTACATATGTTGTTTTTGTTGTAGGTGCCATTGAGTGGGTTCTGACTCATAGAGACCCCAGACACAACAGAATGAACACTGCCTGGTCTTGCGCCATCCTTACAATCGTTGCTATGTTTCAGCTCATTGTTGCAGCCACTGTGTCAGTCTATCTTGTTGAGGGTCTTCCTCTTTTTTGCTGACCCTCTACTTTACCAAACATGATGTCCTTCTTCAGGGATTGGTCCCTCCTGATAACATGTCCAAAGTAAGTGAGACAAAGTCCCACCATTCTTGCTTCTAAGGAGCATTCTGGGTGTACTTCTTCCAAGAAACATTTGTTCATTCCTCTGGCAGTCCATAGTATATTCATTATTCTTTGCCAACACCATAATTCAAGTGCATTAATTCTTCTCTGGTCTTCCTTATTCATTGTGCAACTTTCGCATGCATATGAGGCAACTGAAATATCATGGTTTGGATCATGCACACCTTAGTCTTCAAAGTGACATCTTTGCTTTTTGGTCTTTTGCAGCAGATTTGCCCAGTGCAATACATTGTTTGAGTTCTTGACTGCTACTTCCATGAGCGTTGATGGTGGATCCAAGTAAAATGAAATCTTTGACAACTTCAGTATTTTCTCCAGTTTTTTTTTTTTTTTTTTTGATGTTGCTTATTGGTCCAGTTGTGAGGATTTCTGTTTCCTTTATGTTGAGGTGTAATTCATACTAAAGATTGTGGTCTTAGATCTTCATCAGTAAGTGCTTCAAGTCCTCTTCTATATACAGTGAAACCTGTGAGAGCCGAAACGTGACAGGACTGCCTCGTTTTTCTGAGTCTCCCAAGTTTTCTGCCTTTCACATGGTACAGTTTTATCACTTTTCTATCACTCTCTATTAAGAATTCTACCTTATAAACACCCAGAAAATGTTTCTTTTTGATTTTATAGGACTGGAAAAGAAACTAAACCATTTTTTATGATTTGCATGTTTATTCAAATTATGTACAGATATGTGCATATACTGTCCAAACAAAGATATGGGTAAAATTCACTTTTTAATAAAAACATCTAAAGTCAACTTTAAGTTTTCGTTTTTTGATGAAATTATTGAAACAAATTCCTAGGTCTGTAACCTTATGAAAAACTCTTGGTCTCCTTTAACTTTTCCAAATTCCTTCAAAGCACTTACATAGCTGGAAACTTGTGTTTGATTTACAGGCACTGGCTCTTCTAAAGGTAGGTGTTCATCATCTTCATTGTTGTTGTCCTTAGATTGTGCGTCCATCATTTCTTGCAGGTTTATATCGTCCATTTCTGTGGCAATGTCTTTGCCGATATCAACGTAAGATGCAGGACTAACCCTATTTTCTGAAACACCACTATAGTTGTCATTCATTGCATCCTGAATCTGCATGTTATTGGGCTTGGTGACTGTTTTGCTTTGTATACTATTGTCACTGCCAAGTAAGAAACTGAAGTTCTTAAAGCATTTTCTTATGGTTTCTTCCTTAACCATTTTGATTGATCACTTAAGAAATGAAACTGCATCAAGCACATCAATTTTCCCTGAAATCTCTGATGCCATCTTGCACATCTTAGTGTTGGTAATCATTTTTTGAAGCAATAGCTTCCTGTAGTTTAATATTTTGGATAATGCCATTATCCAGAGGTTGTAGGACCAACATTGTGGATGGTGGAAAAAAATTAATTTAATATCGGACAGGGGCAGTGACCAATGACAAGTAACACTGACAATGAACAAAAGAATGCTTCAATTTTGTTTTTTCATGGAATTGTTGAGTTTATTTAAAACTCTGTAAATTGCTCCCATCAGCCAAGCTTCTTTATTCCATTTCCATTCTACTGAAAGCTGATTAATTTTGATATTCTTGAAGCACCGTGGTTTCTTGCTCTTTCCAATTGCCTGTGGTTTCTCGAATGTCCGATCTGTAAACATAGTCCAGAGGATGGTAAGCTGCTCTTTTCAAAAACTGACCCTGTAAGCATTTTTCCCCTTCATTTTCAGGGTGCTGTTAGGCATTGCCCTTAAAATAGAGCAATCTCATTGGCATTTGCGAAGTCCATAGGATCATACGCACTTATGATGTCTTTTAATTAAAAAAAATTTTTTTGTCCTGTTTCTGGTGAAAGTTTACACAGCAAATTACGTTCCCATTTAACAATTTCTATACATATCGTTCAGTGACATTGGTTACATTTTCCACAATGTGTTAGCATTCTCATGATCTTCATTCTGGTTGTTTCATTTCCATTAATCTAGCTTCCTTGCCCCCACTGTCACCCCCCACCTTCTCATCTTTGCTTTAGGATAGATGTTGATCATATCATCTCATATAGATGATTTTTTTTTTTTTTTAATTAAAGAAGCACAGTACTCCTGGGTGATGACGAGCCAATCTGTTATTTAGTGGAAAGGTGACTTCTGGAAGAGGTTTCAGTTCAAAGTTTCAAGGGTATCTCAGGGGTTTCTCTAGTCTCTACTGGTCCAGTAAGTCCGGCATTATTTTTAAGAATTTGATTTCCTCCCATTCTTTCTGGGACCATTCTTTGTGTGCCTGGTTAGAACAGTAGGTAGTGGTAGCTGGGCACTATCTAGTTCTTCCGGTCTCAGGGTAGATGAGGCCGTGGTTCATATAGACTAGTTTCTTGAGTCTTTAGCTTCCTTCTTTTTCTTTTGCTCTGGATGAGTAGAGACCAATAGTTGTATCGCAGATGGCCACTTGCAAGCTTTTAAGGCCCCAGGCACTACTCACCAAACTAGGATGTAGAACATAACTTTATGAATTCTATTATGCCAGTTGACTGAGATGTCTCAAGAGACTATGGTCCTAATCCTTCAAACCCAGCAAATCCAATCCTGCAAAGTGTTTGGTTATGTCTAAGAAGTATCCATAACTATGCCCCCTATGTGCTTTATTATATATATGAATATATGTGCATATGGTCACGTAGTTGCAAATATATATGCATACACCTATATTTACCCACATACGAACATACCTATACACATATATGCCTACATACATAAATATAACACCCACATATATATGTTTTGATTGTTTTTGCTGTTGTTTCAAAATTATATATTCCATAGCAATTACCAACAGATCTTTTTTCTTGTGTTCTTTTTAGTGACACCGTTTACCTTCGTCAAGCTGTATACACTTCATCTTCATTTGGTGTTAACCTTTCCCACCACCAAAAATAACAAATGTCTAGTGTCCATCAACAGATGAATGGATAAACAAATTGTGGTACATACACACAATGGAATACTATGCAACAATAAAGAACAATGGTGAATCTGTGAAACATCTCACAACATGGATGAATCTGGAGGGCATTACGCTAAGTGAAATAAGTCAGTCACAAAAGGACAAATATTGTATGAGACCACTATTATAAAGACCTAAGAAAAGGTTTACACAGAGGAAGAAAACAATCTTTGATGGTTATGAGGGAGAGAAAAGGCGGAGGGGGAAATCACTAACTAGATAGTAGACAAGTGTTAATTTTGGTGAAAGGAAAGACAAAACACAGTATAGGGAAAATCAGCACAACTTGACCAAGGCAAACTCATAGAAGCTTCCTAGACACATCCAAGCACATTAAGGGGACTGAGTCACTGGGGCTGAGGGCTGGGCACCATGGTCTCGGGGGAAATCTAGGTCAATTGGCATAACACAGTTCATAAAAAAAATGTTCTACATCCTACTTTGATGAGTAGTGTCTGGGGTCTTAAAAGCTTGCAAGTGGCCATCTAAGATACATCTATTCTTAGACATACTTGTTAGACATAACCAAACACATCAATGGATTTGTTTCCTGGGTTTGAAAGATTAGGACCATAGTCTGGTGGGACATTTCAGTCAATTGGCATAACATAGTTCATAAAGTTTATGTTCTATATCCTAGCTTGGTGAGTAATGTCTGGGGTCTTAAAAGAGTGCAAGCGGCCACCCACGATACATCTATTGGTCCCAGCACATTCGGAGCAAAGGAGAATGAAGAACACCAAAGACACAAGGAAAATATAAGTCCAAAGGACTACTGGACTACATAAACCACAGCTTCCACCAGCCTGAGTCCAGAAGAACTAGATGGTGCCCGGTTACCACCACCGACTGCTCTGACAGGGATCACAGTAGAGGGTCCCAGGCAGAGTGGGAGAAA